TGAATATCATTGTTTTCTTTTTTTAACTTTGTCAACGCGTCACCTTACCTACGATCGTATCACTGCAAATAACGTCATCGAAGTAAGATAAAATTTCAGTATATGACGTTTCTTTTTTTTCCGTTTTTTTTTTCTTTTTGTTTTTTTCTTTTCCTTCTTTCCTTTTTTTTCTTATTTTTTTTTATATTTTTTTTCCTTTTTTTTTCTTTTTTTTCCGTTTTTTTTTTTCTTTTTTTTTTTTTTTTTTATCCGAGGAAAAGACACCAAATTTACGAGATCGAATTTTTCCATTGCAAATGCCGCGCATGACATTGACGATGACGGCAGCCAGATGTTTCTTACTTCGGGGAAGCTCAAGCTCCAGGCACAAAGCCATGTCGTTCGTATCTTTCGTCGCGCACTAATGTAGGCTGACACGGGTAACTCGCTCTAAATCATACAAGAGAGATAGATAGATAGATAGATAGATAGATAGATAGATAGATAGATAGATAGATAGATAGATAGATAGATAGATAGATAGAAATATAGAGATAGAGATAGATAGATATATAGAGATAGAGATAGATAAATAGTGTGAGAATTATTGGCAAGTCGAACAATGTGCATAACACATGATTTCGGTTCAAAATCTCCCTTTCTTTTTTTTTCTTTTTTTTTTTAATTTCATCGTTGATTCTTGTTTCTTTTTTATTTTTTTCTTCTTCTATACTCGATCATATTTTCTCAAAGATCATGACATTTCTTTTTCTCATCTAAATCGTACGAAAAATAGAGAGAGTGAATGAGAGAGAAAGAGAGAGAGAGAGAGAGAGAGAGAGAGAGAGGCAGATAGTGAGAAAGGAAGAGAGATAGAAAGATAAAGATAAATAATTATTAGCAAATGTTCAAAGTATGCGTATAATGTTAGATTTTTATGAAAATCTTTCTTTTGAATTCTTTTTTCTCTCTTTGTTTTTTTCTTTTTTTTTTCTTTTCTTTTTTTCTTTTCTTTCCTCCTGTCTCTTTTTTATTCTTTCATAGAGATTAAAAAATTGTATTTATCATCAATCCGTATATCTATCTGATCGTATAAATCCTAAGAGTTTGGTTTATATCGGCACGTTTGTTTTAATTTGTTCTTATTACATAAGACGATATTGCGATTCGATGACAAATGCACCTGCGAAATGTAATATATAATTGTTTACGTAATGTATTTAATGAAAACGAATCTTTACCGATAGCACGTGATTCGCACGGACATTATGAACTGAATATAATCGAAGTAGCGATCGTCCATCTGTGCTTTCGTTGGCGATGAGAAAATCATTCAAGAATCATAATTAATGATAGAAATAAATGGAAAATTAATTCGAGAATGCATTTTTATGCGATTTTCTTTACGATGATCGTTACGCAGTTTTTTTTTTAAGTTTCTATTCTTTTTCTTTTTTTTTCTGTTTTCATCCCATTTTCTCTTTTATTTTCGCGTTCATTTTCTTTCTTTCTTTTTTTTTTTTTTTTTTTTTTAACCAATCACGATTCGTTAAATTCGACTAAATGAATTATTTGATAAGTCGATAAGTGCATTTTCGTGTATATAATTTAAGCTCCTCTTTTTTCTTTCTTTCTTTCTTTCTTTCTTTTTTTTTCTTTTTTTTTTTTTTTTCTTTTTCTTTTTCCATCTATGAATGAATGTCACAAAAATTTCATGCTATATAATTGCGCGATGAAAAATCGATCAGTGAGACTTTTTTGTTTCTTTTTTTCTTATCCCTTTTCTTTTTTTTTTTTTCTTTCTTTTTATTTTCTTTAATTTATTCCATTAATCGTATTACTCGATCGACTTTTGTAAATTTTCCAACGTCGATTGGTAACACTGTGATCGTACAAGGTTGGCGTCATCCCTGAAGTTTCTCTTTCTCTCTCTCTCTCTCTCTCTCTCTATCGCTCGTTCGTTCTATCGCTCTCCCTCTTTCTCTTTCTCTCTCGCATACTTTTTCACTTTTGGTTTTGTGCCAAGTGCGCAGAATACGCTATCGTTTCAATGGTCCATCTTTCTTTCGTGTACGAAACTACGATCAACAAGGAGTAGCTTAGGATTTTCAAGAAAAATAAGTCTTACTTTGTTTCGAGTTTGATTATTTATTCGGACATTAACGTTTCATAATAATGGATCTTTGATACTTTGATATAAAATCAACGCGTTTCTCCTTATATATATATATATATTTATTTATTTATTTATTTATTTATTATATATATATATATATATAATGAATTTGATATATTTATATATATAATTTATATTATACAAACATTTATTAATAATATCACACAGATTATATAATCATATAAAATAATTACAATGCTAGGATTATAAATAGTTACGATATTAATACGATCATATAAAGGTCATATAAAATAATTATAATACTGAGATTATAAAAAACTAAACTGACATTTATTTTCAATCGAATTATATGAATTATTAATATTTTTTTAAACGTCTCATTCTCGCTAAGGACGAGTAGGAAGGGGTGGGGTGGGATGGGGTAGGGTGGAGGAGGAGTATAGGGTAAGAAAGGAAAAATATATCTATTTTCTTTTCACAATAATCTGAAACAATATTTAAATCCTATTTTTTTTTTTTTTATCTGCGAAGCTATAAACAATAAATAAATAAGAGAACGTGGTGGCGGCTTCAACATAATTAAAAAATAAATCAAATAAACGTGTAAACGTATAAACACATGAAATATATTTATTTCGTTATAAGAAAAAAATCAAAAAGAAAAAGGAACCTTGGATCTAATAGAATATCTAATTAATGAAACATTCTCGCGATCACGCATCTAATGATCGAAGATTTAATTATAGTGATACAATTTTTATGAATTTTCATACAATTTATTTAAAAAGAAAAAAGGAAGAAAAAAAGAAAACAAAGAATAAATAAATAAATAAATAAATAAATAAATAAATAAATAAATAAATAAATAAATAAATAAATGATAATACGAAAAAAGGGACGAGCAGAATCATTCAATCGACACGATGATGATTTCTCCTCGTAAGAATTATGATTCTAGGTACTTGATAAATATTATTATCGTAGTCGTCATTATGAAAAAGCTTCGTATTTTTCCCCGTTTGTACTCCTTTCGCATTACTGTCGTTGCTGCTGCTGTTGCTGTTGTTGTTGTTGTTATTGTTATTATTGTTGTTGTTGTTGTTGTTGTTGGAGAGTCCCGCGCGAACACGCGAGTAACATTTCCCGCGTCGGAAGGAGACGATGTTCCCTTGGGTCGAGACGACAGGGTGGGCGGATATCCGGTATAGCAACAGACGCCCCATATACTCGAGTGGCATATAGAGGGAGAATGCCATAGAGATAGATCGTTAGCGATGGTGTTGGTGAAACGGTTTAGCGATGAACGAGGTTTGGCCGCCACCTGGTATTTTCCTTTGCCTTGGTAAAGACTTTTAACGGGAAGTCCGACTCTCTTCTCTTCTCATCTCTTTCTATCTATCTATCTATCTATCTATCCATCTCTCTCTCTCTCTCTCTCTCTCTCTCTCTCTCTCTCTCTTTCATTCTTTCTTTTTCTTTTTCTCCTTCTTTCGATCTTCTCGAGGACCTTTACCAGACACTCGTCAGACCAATATGAGATGAGGAGAAACGTTGGGGTGAACTTTCATAGCATTTCAATCTCCTTATTTTTTTTTTCCCCTTTTCCTTTTTCTTTTTCTTCTTTTTCTTCTTCTTCTTCTTCTTCTTCTTCTTCTTCTTCTTCTTCTTCTTCTTCTTCTTCTCCTTCTTCTTCTTCCAACATGTGTAGACTTCCCGTTTGATTGGTTTGATGTATAATGTAGGATTTACCGTAAAATAATGTTCCCGGATGACAGGGTTTACTTTAACATCAGTTCTTTTTTTCTTTTTTTTTTTCTTTTCTTTTTTTTTCTTCTTCTTTCTTTCTTTTTTTTTTCTCTCTCCCTCTTATCCAGATCGGGAAGCTGAGTATACAAGTTTGTTATAGTAGATTGGTAAAACGTAAAGAAGTTTGATCATTAAATTGAATCGATTAATAAACTTTGATTATGAATGTTATATAGCAGGAAGCTGAACTCTCTCTCTCTCTCTCTCTCTCTCCCTCTCTCTTTTCCTTTCTCTCTGTCTTCTTTCTATCATCTCGAGGACGAGACTTTAAAAGACGCTCGTTGACTCGATATTAGATGAGAAACGTTGCCGTGAATCTTTAATATTCTATTCTTTTGTCATGCGTAAATTAAGCTTCTTTGATCGACCGATATATGTATTTGTAATATTTAAAAATGAATGTTTCTTTAAAGATGCTTCCGATACTTTTTACATAATTTTCTTTTTTTTTTTTTTTTCTTTTTTTTTTCTTTTCTTTTCTTTTCTTTATTAGGAACACAGCGTACGGGATATACGTGAAAATCGCGATATTAGATTCGTTTATATCATTTTATTATTTTTATCGCGTATATAAATTGACGAATATAATTAATCGTTAACAATGATACTACGGTTAAAAGGTCAAAAAAAAAAAAAAAAGAATTCTAAGATGAAAGATCGATCATTTTCTATATTTGTCTCTCGTTAAATGAGAATTCGTATTTTTTACGTTCTAAATAAATAAGAAATAAATGAAACTTCCCGACAGTCTTTCTTTTCAAAAAAAGAACGAACGCCCATGATTCTTAAGTTTTGTCGACAAAATGAAAACGTTTGAACGAATCGAGACCATTTTTTAAATGTCATTAAGTTCAAGTCTTTGAATCTTCTACGGTTCGTTAAATCCTCTTACTAAAATATTTTCTATTTATCCTTGGAAATAGAATGTTTTTTTTTGTCCGAAAATGATTCGCGGATATTTATTGTCTCGATTATTTAAGAATACAAGCCATTTTACGATTTCAAATATATATTATGTGCCATTCTAATTTACCTAATTTCCATTCATAAGTTTCACTCTTCTTCTTCTTCTTCTTCTTCTTCTTCTTCTTCTTCTTCTTCTTCTTCTTCTTCATCTTCATCTTCTTCTTACTCTTATACATACGAATTTTTAATAACATCTGAAAATTATTCTAAGAATTGTCAGGACGAATTATTATCAAATATTTATCGGATGGATAAAATCAAAATGTCGCTAACGTTTTAATCGTCTTTTATAGATCAAATAATTATATAGTATGAAATTTTTCTTTTATCTCTCTTTTTTTTTTCTCATTTCTTTTTTTTATTTTTTTTTTTATTTTTTTTATTTTTTTTTTATGAACCAATAGTATATATTGTAGCGTACCTATATATAAAAGTAAATTTCTTCTCTAAAAGTCGACTCTCGCACGAGAATTAAATCGTATCGATTAAACGTCTCCATGTAGAAAAATATTTCGGACAACGCTCTTTCTCGTATAGCTGATTTAAAAAGAGAGATAGGGAGAGAGAGAGAGAGAGAGAGAGAGAGAGAGAGAGAGAGAGAGAGAGAGAGAGAGAGAGAGACGAAAGATCCGGGAGAGTGTCGGTTAATCGTAAAACCAATTATTTCACACCGGAGAGTCACAAGACGTCGGTCCGACGTCTATTTCCGTTTCACGATCTGTCTTGCTCCCGTCATTTTCGATGCCATCCTATTTTCGATCTCACCCCGTCGCTTGATCGACCAGGTCATACGGTTAAACGCGATTTATTCGATAATGAAGATGGACTTGCCTGGATTTTCCTGAAGGATTTAATATCGTTCCTCGTTTTCACCGATTTGTCGATGAACCACGTTAGCTCGTGCTACAGAGAGTGAGCGAGAACGAGATAGAAAGAGATATATAGATAGATAGATAGATAGATAGATAGATAGAGAGAGAGAGAGGAAAAGAGAGAGAGAGAGGAAGACGGAGAGAGAGAGAGGCCACGGTATTAGCCCGATACTGTTATCGATCGGCAAGGTTGCTCGGTCTTTGTAACGTCCATCGTTTTTCCTTCACACCATCGAGCAAAAGGAGATCGCGATGCCCGACATCCCCCTTTACACTTTCAACTCATGTGTATGTGTGTACGTGCGTACGTGTATATATGTGCGCGCGCGCGCGCTGCTGCTGCTGCTGCTGCTGCTACTGCTGCTGCTGCTGCTGCTGCTGCTGCTGTTGCTGTTACTGCTGCTGTTGCGTTCTCTCTCATAAAGGATTTTCCTTCTCTTTGCTCGGAAACGAAGAAGAAAATTGTGCGTGGATGATCGTAGGGGAAAAAGAAAAAAAAAAAAAAGAAAAGGAAGAGAAGAAGATCATTGAGTACGATCGAACGGTATCGATCTCTTCTCTACTTTCGCCATTGATAAATAAATCCTTATCACATTATGTACTTTCTTTTCTGTTTATCTTCTTATATATTTTGTTTCGTTTGTCTTTTATCCCTTTTGCTTTATTTATATCTTTCTCGGTTTTTTTTTTTTTATTTTTTTTTTTCTTGATTTCTTTTCTATTTTTCCTTCTGTCTTTTTTTTTTACCTTTTTAAGGATAAGAGATTTTCTTTCCATATCTCGTTTAATTTCTGCAAATCCCTCTCCCTTTTGGTTAATTTTATTATCGAAAAGAGAGATCGTTTTTCTATTTTAAAAATGACCTATCGTACGTACAAGTAAAGTGCCCGACGGGATTTATTAAGAAGTTACGGAAATAAAAGGGAGAATGCACGACGAATAGGGAAAAGATAATAACTCTTATGAAGAAGAAAAAAAAATAAGAAAAAGAAGAAGAAAAGATTGAGAGACAGAGAGAGAGAGAGAGAGAGAATGAGAGAGAGAAAGAGAGAGAGAGAGAAGTTCCAATCAATCAACGTCCATAATCGTGAGAAGAAACCAAAGGTGAAATTGTTAAGAGTTTATTTTCACGTAACGTACCTAACATCTATATATATATATATATATATATATATATATATATATATATATATATATACACTCAGACATAGGTATTATATGTATGTATAACTTCTTATTTCTAGCTGTTTTATCTATTATCAACATTTCAGTCCTCGATTTATCATAACCACCATTTAGAATGAATGAACATTTTTCGTGTTTAATTTTCCACTTTCATCCTTTTTTCATCCTTTCCTTTTCTTTATCACCTATTTTATATTGCGTATAATAATTCGTGTGTTTTGTCGTTTGTAACTTCGATAAGGATATTCTCAACCCTTTTTTCTCTCTCTCTCTCTCTCTTTCTCTCTCCTTTTCTCACTTTTTTTTTCCATACGACAATTGAAGATAACAACGACATACTCGTACTCGTACACACACACCCACACCCACACACACATACACCCCCACACACACACATAGGATGAAAATATTAATTACTTACATATGTACGTCGCCCTTTTCTCAAGTCTTCACCGTGACTCGTTCGCACGGACAACGAAGATCGATAGGGTAGGATATATTGAACACATATATACATATGTATATACGTACATACACATACACAATCTTTCTCTCTCTCTCTCTCTCTCTCTCTCTCTCTCTCTCTCTCTCTCTCTCTCTCTCTCTCTCTCTCTCTCTCTCTCTACTCTCTTCGGGTTAGGTTACTCGACCTAGAGGGGGACAGCTACATTGCAGCTCATGCATAATACATATGATCCGACCTGGAGTAGATTTATCTTTACCCGTAGCCGCGATAATTCGTTAAATATCGACAGGCACTTCTCGAGCTCGTTTCTACTGTCTTTTTCGTTGGACCAATTTGACCCGACGTTTACCTCTTTTCTTTCTCTCTTCTATTTCTCTTCTCTCTTTCTCTCTCTCTCTCTCTCTTTCTCTCTCTCTCTCTCTCTCTCTCTCTCTCTCTTTCTATCTTACGTGCTCCTCCAACCCTACTTTTCCAACACAACCCCTCCGAATCACGGGAGAAACGCAACAGTTGTGCATAACCTGTGCCACCTCGGCTTGAACTTTGACACAGTTTCGGCCGCTCGTTTCACCTCGTCTTATTTGCCGTGATTAGAATCAGAATTAATATCGATCGATCCTAATGTTCTCCAAATTTCTTTCCAACGTTCTTCCATTTTTTTTCTCCGCCTCCCCCCCTTCTCTCTCTCTCTTTCTCCATTTCTTTTTTTTCCCATTTATATGAGTATATATATATATATATATATATATATATATATATATATTTTTTTTTTTTTTTAATACGGCTTCATCCTCCCATTTCTTTCCTTTCCATTTTAATTCTTCCATTTGAGGTTTTTTCTCTTTTTTCTTTTTTCTTTTTCTTTTTTTTTTTTTTACGTTTAAATATTGTATTATCTTCTCGAAAATCTCTTTAGAAAGATCTTAGATAAGATTTGAATTTTCATGATCTCGAGTAATAATTCATAGGAGGCATTATGGATTTTCATGTTTTTCTTTAGTCGAATTCCTCAGCTCGTTACGTAATCACCAATTTTCTAAGCCTAGTTCGGCTGTCGTTTCCAGGATGATCATTATTAACCTGTTACATTGTCCATCAGTTAATAGACCATTATGAAATCAATGACGTCAATTACTAAGTCCCTTTTCTTCCCTTCGAATAATGTTAATATTCTCAAACCCTCGTTCTCTCCTTTCCCTCCCTACCCTTTTAGCCTTTTTAATTTAAATGATTTTTTTTTTTTTTTCTTTTTTTTTTAGTCACAGGATATAGAATAATAATAAAGAGACAACATTAAAACGTAATAATTTATCTGATCCTATATCTTCTCATTCGATAGAAATTTTGTGAGATATCGTATAGACATCCACATATATAAATACAAATATATATACATATATATACATATATATATATATATATATATTATATATATTAACATCTTGAGTGACATTTAACCGCAATAATCGATATATATCGTTCGGTCATGCTACCGGTCGATGTCAGTTTCGTGTCAAGACGAGTCAGACAAGACGAGTTCTCCAATCGATTTTCAACGCCGCGTCTTCATCAAATTATTCTCGATATCTCGAACACGTCCTCGTATTATTTCCTATTTCTCGGTTAACTAAACGTTCTGTTAACTCGCGTCTTTCTCTCGGAGAATCCACAAGAGAGAGACACAGAGAGAGAGAGAGAGAGAGAGAGAGAGAGAGAGAGAGAGAGAGAGAGAGAGAGAGAGAGAGAGAGAGAGAGAGAGAGAGAGAGGGAGTTAGAGAGAGTGAGAGAGAGAGAGTGAGAGAGAGAGAGAGAGAGAGAGAGAGAGTGAGAGAGAGAGAGAAAAAGGGAGACTGGTTTCTCAAAGTCGTTCAACAAGCCAGAGAGCAGTAGTAGTTAGCCAAGACTAGTTTCGTCGCTTTTATCGAAAGCCGCTGAGCATTTAGTTTTCTTTCTTTTTCTTTCTCCTCGTTAAGTTCGCAATCGACGTTGCACATATAAGAATATATACAAGATATGTACCTATGATATCTCGTTATCTAGGCGCGATTTAACCGGTCGTTTAGAT